AAACTACCATCAAACTGTTCTTCTGGATAGTGAAGGATGGTGAAATTGTTCTGAGCAGCAGAACAGATAGGCTCCCACTATACAACTGAAAATCGTGCGTAAAATTCCTTGAAAAATAAGTACTCCAATATTTGGTCATCAATATTTAAATAAAGATCAGTATTACTGATTTTAAAATACACACAGCTTTTTGTTGTCATTTAAACTGAAGGCAGCTGATAAACTGGTAAAACTACAGGAACCGCTGCTGGCCTATTTTTGAAACACCAGTCTGAACCATCTTCAACATTGGAGGCGTCAACAGAAATCGTTACCAACCTGATTTTTTGTAAGCGATGGGTCCCACAGTCCTACATCTTCCCATGTAGTGTTTTTCAAATAAAAGTCATTAGGTTCAAACTGCTTAAAATCCTGGAGAAGGGGAAAATAGGAAGAGAAGACAAAGAATCAAAACCAAAGACCAGCTGCCCCCTTACACAACTCTCACAAGCATCCATGCCCTCTACTCAAGTGCTGCCAGCAAATAGAAGAGATCATCAATTCAGGGAAACTTGCATATTTAAAATGCAAACTTTTGAGATGGAAAATCACAAAAAATGACACAAACACCTGAGGAAAAAAATTCAAAATGAATCCTCCTGATTAAGCCAAACCTGCAAGTACCTACCCACTTTTCAGAAGCGGACACTGAGTATTGTCTGGTTGCAGCTCAACATTTAACATCAAAGTGTGTKTCACCACCTTTAGCTTTGATTAAAAAAGATCAGACATGAATTCAGATAGATATTTTATACTTAATCWAAAAAATTCTCTGATGCCCAAATAGCCCAATTTCAAGTAAAGAAAAAATAGAAGTGATTTATCAGCTCGATGACCTACCGTTCAGCACTGAAACTCTTCATTAAAACTTCAGAATTACCTTCTGTCCCCCAGGAATGTCCTATACCATGCCTAGTTCATGCTCTATTTTAAGGACAGTTAATGAATTCTACTCTTAGGAATCCAACATAAGCAAAAAACAACCTATCTTCAAAGTATGTCAAACCAATCATGTACAGTCTGAAGTGCATATCAGCTTAYTAAAAAGTGCTTACAAGTGTTTGCTAAAATTACTAATTAAAGCCTACTTTGTGTAGAATTAAAAGCAAAGCAGAGGTGGCACACATCCCTACTAGTAGTTGTAGAAACTCCTGAACAATAAAGCTCAATCAAAAACAAAAAATCCTTCTCAGAGGCTGATGAGAACMGAGAGGTGAGAGCTGGACGCAGGGAATTCTAGAAGCAGTCTTCAGAACTTGCAGTGAATCTAACATTTCTTGAAACAGATTTAAAAAATAAATTCATTAATTAAAAATTCAGATTCTGAAGACCTCAGAGTCCACTATTTTTGAAGCAGCTTAACTCCAACTGAAACACTTGSTAGGTGTCATACTTACTTCTATATGTTCTTTACAGTATTCCAAACCAATGTCACTAAGTATTTTTTTCACAGTTTTCCGGGCCTTTCTTAAACTGCCAAGGTTGTTGACAGGAAGTTGGAACATAGTTTCTATTGAAAAAGAAAGTAAGAGAAAAAGTTTAAGTCAAAAGTGTTTTGTCTCATGAAGAGCTGCATTCTTAATTATCAGTTATCTTCTCCCTCATTTTACCCACATTACTGGATCTCAGAGCTGTCCCATTAACTACAAAAGCTCCCCCTTCTTCTGTTTGGTTCTTAAATGAGGTGGGCCATGAAGCTTAAAACAAAACCCGATGTGACAGCTACTGCAGCAGTAATCAGCCCCATCTGGAAATAATTTATAACGTGTTTACATTTACATGAAATTACCTCCTGTGCTGAAATACTTAAAGAGTTATTTTTGTGCATTTGGATTCCAACTGATTTGTGGATTAGTGAGTTGAGCATCAATGTCTGTGTCACTCTTGCAATGGTTTAATGGCATCTCTTCAGAAAGAAAGATGCTGCTTGCATTGAGCTAATCACCTACAAAATCTTAATATCCTACATTTAAGATATGCTGTGGAATTCTTTAATATCTTATGGTAGTTCTCCCCTTTTTATTTTAGGAATCTCTATCATCAATAGTTAAGTTAACCAACTTAGATGCCACAGAAAGTCCTCAGAATAAAATACTGAAACAGACTGTTAAGAATGCCCTGGATTGAGGAAGGTGAGGCAGGAAAAAGAAATTAAGTTTCCTCCATTTTAAAGAATTATACTCTGACTGAATGGCTAAGYTACAGATACCAGGAAAGATACTGTTAAACATACATGATGTACGTGCTTTTCCCCTTAAGAGTACAGCTTGACAAGGTTGGCTAGAGCCCTTGAGACAGAAAACACCAGAAAACATAAAAGAGATTGTTTAACAACTCAGTGTATTCTCAGCCAACACGATAAACCCTTCCCTTTCAGTTCTGCACRTGTAGATAAATTAATTCCAATTACATTGGCTGTGAATGATTGAGGCTCTTCAACTAAAGGAAAGTCTAAATTTTTAAAGGATGTGGATTTCTAAATTCTGCCATAAATCCCAAAACACTACCTACATCAGCTCAAAGTAGACAGTTTTTTTCTAAGCTTTGAAACCCTTTATGGGAGATCCTAATACTTCAAGCATTAAGTCTAGAATGCAAAAAGAATGATTTTTGCAACCATTACATTTTAGTTATTTTTTTTCCCCTTGCTAACAGAGGATGAAAAGCAATCTGTCTTAGAAGCAGCCTACTAAGAGTTTTCTCAAARGGACAAAGGAAGTGGCTTGTGACTACAGTAACTGAGGGCATCTTTGATCGAAAACCAAAGCACCTCCACACTTGAAGGGTGACTTAACTGTTTACATAACAGCCTTCTAAGTTTCACACCCCTACCTGCTTTTACCAGACCAAGCTTTAAGACAGTCACTAACAAGGTACCTATTCCCTGACTCCTGCCATTAACAGTGTTTATTTTCAGAAATAAAGACCGAGAGGTTAATCCAACAGTGCGAGTACCACTGCAGCCAGGCTCGCAGCCTGCGAGTGGCTGCTGCTAACACCAGTATCCTCAAACTCACTCCTACGAGCAGAAAGATGATCAGAGTGTTAGGATTCATAGCACAACTATAAATGAGAAATTGCTATTTGTACTGTACTGTGTGTGTGTGTTACTGGATGAAGTAAAACAATACCCTTTGTGACAAAATAGTTTAAAAATAGGCTGAGGAACAGCAATCCCAATTTTGGGGAGCACTAGTAAGAAATTATATTGGAAGATGACGAAGACTAAGGGGAAAAAAAAAAGGTCAAGAATTAAGTCAAGAATTAAGTCAAGAATTTCAACTGTTAATTTTTCTATTGCTTAAAGCAAATGGTTTAGGAAGGTTGTGTCCTACTTGCAATTCCCAAGTAGTAGCATTTTCTCTATTTTTTTTTTAATCTTTGGTTGAAACAGTAAGCAAACATTAACATTTAAAAATGAAAATGCAACTCTAACCCTCAGTTGATTTCCTTAGACCACTCAATATGAAATAGCTTTCAAGGCCGAGCCCCCTGTCACTTTTTTCATGACTTGATTTAAAACAGCTCTGACCTTTATGATACTAAAACTGCATTAACAGGAAAGCAAAATACCACATACTATTAACAACATGGTAATATGGCCAGACATGCCACTCCAACCCCATCTCTGAGCAGGAGAGTGCTCAGATTGGATTCACGTCCTCAGCTACYGGTCAGGTGAACTGGAAAGGAACATCCTGCTTTAACGTTCAAGTCCCTCTCTCCCAAAAAAGAATTGGGAAGCGTGACTCTAACCACTAGTTACAGTAAAATGACGTGGGTTTGCTCTCGAAGCGCAGTGCTATCATGAGCTTTGCTTTAGCTCAAGAACGTCCATTAAAAGCTCCTATGACATATCTGCGATTTCAGTAGCTTCTTCACTGTTAGCTCTGCATGGTCAATTTTCATCAGAAAACATGGAAACATGGTTGAATGTGAGCAAACATTCACATGAATTCCAAACCCGGGGAGATACAAATCCTTTCTTAAGATGAGCTGTAGAAAAATTAAAGCTCCCAGCAAGCTTCCCTCTTTTCTCAGCAAAACCTCAAAATATTGAGGTCAGCAACAATTCTCAAAAAAAAAAAAAAGTGTATTAACAAATAGTTTCTTTCAAAACAAAACACCACTAGCAACTTTCTCTCTGCAATAATTAAATTGGGGTTGGGGTTGGACTCTATGACCTCTGAGGTCCCTTCCAACCTTCGGCATTCTATGATTCTATGAAATACTTTCTCTTAGTGTGTCCAGCGCACCTGGCGATGCAAAACATACCACAATGGAAACACACCAAGAGCTAAAGGAAACAAGATTGCTAGGGGTGCTTAGAAACAAGATCTTGATTTCATCTGCACCTTCTTCTGGGCCCTGCCCTCCCCTCTGCCTCCGGGGCAAGAATTCATTCTTTTCAACAGGGCTACCTCTGATTTGCTGATAAACTCAGCTGGCCACCCCTTCAAATGTACGTGATGGAGCAGCTGGAATTAAGGAGTCCTTCAACTCACTGGTCTGGCCATAGCCACACAGTGCTCCGGGTAACAGCCACTGTGCAAAGCCTCAACAAAAAGGTGTTCCAGGTAGAGCACATGTGTGAAGGAAAAATGCCTGAATGAAGAGCTATCCCATTAAGAAAAGCATCATCTTGATCCAAAAGAACAGCAGAAGATGGAAAAGAGCATTTAAAAGAGCATTTTTTTGCATTTTWAAAAAAGCAAACAACTACAGGGGTAAAGGTGTAAAGAATGTTTTCAGGTCATTACAGTTATTTCTTAGCTAAGTGGAGGAACAACCGTTAATAGACTTTTTGTTGTTGTTAAGTCTGCACTCCTAGCAAAGATCAGCCAAGTTCCAGACTCCCACAACAAAACTCAGTGGTGCTCAGGACATGCAAATCTGGGGGCTTCTAGCAGACTCTGAAGTCTMCCAAAAGCAGCCCCAGGAGACCAGGACTTATTCTCAACTGCAGCACTGACGTGCATCTTACAACCTCAGAATCTGGATGTGAATTGACTACAACTTGTAAAGTCCGAGTCATCTGCAGGAATCAGCAGTTCACTCAACAGAATCCTATCCTGAACTGAGAATGGGCAAGAACATAATAGAGGCCRATTAATTTAAATAGCAATTATGGGCAAGTTTTAGGAGAGCAGCTAAAACTGCAGGCTAGAAGAAGCAACAACACTGTGCCTCATTCTGTCAAAATCAAAGGTTTTTAGCCTTTCTTTCAGCTTGGACTCAAAGATATAATAAAAAGGAGATTTCTCTTCAAGGTTTCTATTACTTGACAGCAAAGAGATTTTTCTCTACTCAAGTTTATGAGCTTGAAAAAAAGAGTGAGAAAAAAACACTGCACAGCATCTCCAATGTTCTCAGAAGCATTGCTGCAAACACAATTCAGGAAGAAAAAAAAAAACCAAAACCAACGTAATCCTAGGAAGCAGGAGGAAGAAACTCATTTCTAGAAAGGATTGCTTAGGTTAGTAACAACAGCACAAACACCCAAGATACAGATCAGGACTGCTCATTTTTGACACATGACAAGAAAGCACATAGAAAAGTCTAGCATATAGATTAATGACAGGAGAGTCACGGAGGAGTTTTAGCTAACGCCAAATTCTTCAACGTAGCTGTACAGATTTTAGCATCTGGATGAGCTCACTGTGATTTTCAACTCCTAATTACCTTTCCACCACCTTGCTACTCCTTCTACTACTTTCAATTCCAGACGGAAACAACTGCAGTCACTACTTTGTCAAAACTGGCACATTCTCCTACTATGTTACTTGGAATGTTTTGTATATCCTCTTTTTGTTTAGTAAAAATAAACTACCCTCACTGAACAATTTAAAGCCATTCAGGTTAGCATTCAGATTACTGCAGTCACACCRTTCAGTCCCTTTAAGATTTCAGTTACCACCTGAAGARCTAATTCAAAAGAGGAGGTAGAAGATTACTGTGCAATTACTCAGAAAATTAACTGATATAAACACAATACTGCACACCTGTCCTAGAGCTCTGTATGATGGCAGTTCACATCCTATGCTATGGATTTTTGTCAGTGCAAACAGCCCTCCCTTATGAGGGAAGCACTAGTATCATACGCCGTATGTTGTACTCACGGCTCGAGCTATGGCCTTGCAGGAAGTGAATGCAGGCAGGAGAATGAGGGGAAAAGGAGATGAAGACAAGAAAACCCTCCCATCAGTCAAATTCTTAGAGGTAATACAAAAATATGAGCAGCACTTCCATTTCTCTGCAAGCTCAAAAACTTRTTTCTATTTTAGTGCAACTAAAATCTTAATTCTTCTGTTAAGAATTAACTCTCCAGTTAAAATTCAGTTCATAAAGAGCATCATTGTAGAACAGCATTCCAAAAACTAACTGCCCTTTGGGGGGAAATCATGCCAATGGACTTTCCTTAAAAGTGTTATGTCAACATTGGTAGTAAATTCCCCAATCTTCCTATAATATTATTATMTGGCTATTTCATTTACTTCCATTGGGAATTTTAGGAATGCAGTTCCAAGTTCCTCTGCTAAGTTCACAGGGCTGGAAAGAGATTAGTTCAACCATGCAGCCAATCAAGAAAAGGACAAACCACAGGACAAACCTTCCTTAGAAAACAGGTGAAAATCAGAAAAGAAAAATGGAGAAAGAACTGACAGAATAAAGAGAGCCCTGAAAACAAATGCATTTTTTCTTAATGTGTATTTATCAATTCACAGAGATACCCTGTTTTACAAACTCATGGCTTCCAGGAGCTGTGTTCTTCCAGGTTGTCTCATCACAACCAACTACTCCAAACAGRTAGGCTAAACTGCCTTTCTACAGTTAAACTAGCCTAGTTCTTCAGCTCTAACTTGAATGTTAAGGACAGAAAAATCCAAAGATGAAGACAACAGAATCCGTTTCTGATTTGCAGATACCACAGTCTGCTACAGTGTAGAAGTTGTCTACTGCTGTTCAGAAGAGGCACTGTTTCACCAACGATTAAGTGTGACACCCCTTCCCGCAGTGTTTCCTGCGAGTCCCCYGCAGGCAAAGCAGCTCCATCTCGCCAGAGCAAGGGCTGCAGCAGCCCCAGCTGTAAAGATAGGAATAAACTGTCATCCTGTTTGACAGGAGCACCATCCTGTTTACTCCAAGGGCTCTAATTTGTAATTTCTAAATTGGTTTAGATTTCCAGCTGATGAGAGTCTGAGTACTCTGAAGAACTAAGCTGTCTCCCAGGGTAAATGTTGCCTGTTCATAAGCCTAAAGCTCAAGTTTTAAAATATGTCTACTTACTTTTATGTGAACTTCTCCCATTTGTCATATTTACAGACTTTTTGAGATGTCAACACTTTAGATCTAACCATGCGGAAATATTCCAGAACTGAGTACTTAAAGCACCCTTAATTTTTCACTTTTGAACAGCCTTTGTAATACAACTTTTCTGGGATAAAAAACAGCAATGGGATAAGACAACCACCTCCTCTGGGGCACATCCTGAAAAAAATCCCTGTTTCACCTTCTCCCATAACACATTTTGTTGACCCTTTCCTTCTTAACGCTGTTATTTATTCATATTATGAAGACCRAGATAACCCAGCCTTCATGGTGATCTGAAACACAGTATTACCACCCGCACTGTGGAAGAAAGCATTAGGTGTGAGCATGTATGCAAAACAGACAATTTCCAAAACAAGACGTAAAACCAGCCTTCTCTACCCTGTTGTGACTTTGAATTTGTGTGCATCTATATTCACACTGATCCTTCTGTGAGTGAGATGATTAGCTCTTTGGGAACTGTAATTAATGAACATAACGTATAATTTCTTACACATTTAACTAAATGACACACATTTCTATTATTTCTGCATATGCTTATAAAACGGAACTGCTGTATCCCTTTCCCTCTCCCCCTCATCAACCCTCTGCTGCTTCAAAGGGTCTGTCCTTTTATTGCTCTTTCCCCCACTCCTCCTCATCCTTTTCTTGGCTGGTTCTTGGCTGCTTGGTCCTTACCTCGCTCATTTTCCCTCTTCTCATCTTCCCTGCGCCAATTCATAGTGTCCACATTCCTTCGTCGTTCTCTCTCATCCTGTCTCCACCGCTTCTTGATATCTTTGTCCTTAACTTGCTCATTTTCTCTCCTCTTCTCATCATCCCTGTGCCATTTTATTGTTTCTGTATTTCTCTGCGGCTCCACGCTTCTTTTGAGATAGTCTTGTCGCCTCCTCCTCTTTTTTAACATATCCCTTTCCCTGGCACGAGCCTGCTTTTCTTTCTGGGAAAGAAAAGCTTTACGGGGCATCATGAGCTGCTCCTGTACCTGTAATAATATTGTAGTCCATGGAATAACATGCTAGACATGCACTCGGTCAGTCAGGCACCAACAACTCGCATTTGGAGCTCAAAACTTCAATTACTCAGATCAAGGAATTGCTGCTGCCTCTCTTTCCTTCAGAACGTCCCGCTGGCTCCGCATGGGGCGGTGGGAGACACGCGGCTCGCTGCCCCGTGTGCGCCACCCCGCAGGCACCGCGGCGCCTGCCCGAGCGGCGCCCCAGGCCAGAGCCCCCAAGCCCCAGGCCCGGGCAGGACGAGCCCCCTGCCCTCCCGTGACAGCCTCTCCCCGAGGTTTCGCAGCCATTCGCACCACTCTGTCCAAGTGGGAGAACAGGCCGACCGGAGAGAGTTGMGAAGCAAACAGCGGTGTTCAAATTCCACCTCCTTCTCTTGCCAAAGATCTGTATTTAATGCAACTGATTTTATTTAATCTTCTCAGACCTCCATTTCTATGAAAATTGGATAAAATTGGCCAACTTTTTTTTTCAGAAGTGGGGGAGGGGAATCCAAGACAAGCCACAATCTGAAAAATTGTATAAGCTTCGTCTCCTCGGGAAACCGGGCCAGACAGTTAACTGCAGTTACTGAAGCTCTGACTCATCTGCTCAAACTTTCTCTACATATGTTATGTCTTGCAATATTCACAAGAACAAAGGAAAAAGAGATGACTATTTACTGGGAGCTTCTACCGACAGCAATCCTGATTTGATTTTTTTTTAAATGTTTCAATCCAGTTTACATTTTAACAAATTGTTTTACGTTTGGACATTTTTCTTTAGTCATCCAATGCCTTCACATCTGATCAGGGTTAATATCTGCATTTCCAGAATAATGGCAAACAAAACAGATGACAGACAAAATTTATGCTATTGCTCATGTTCACATACTGCTCTGCCCACATTGAGCAAAGCCTCACAAGCTGAACTCAATTTGTGGCCCAGGGCTTGGGGGTTTTCTGGGGGAGGTTGTTTAGAAGAGAGTTTTGCAGATGTCTAATCAAAATGAAAACTGCAGAAAGGACAAAATTACTAGATTAGATGGGATACTTAAATAAAGCCTAAAACAAAATGAAACAAATGTACTTTTAAATTTTAGCTACCTTATGGAAAGCACTTGTTCCCAGCATGCAATACTCCATCCTTTTCCTACAGAAAAAGCAATGTTTCAAACCCTTATTCTAAAAACTTCCTTTTCCCCTGTGTAAAACACCCCTCCCCCTTGACTTAAGCCTACTACTCTATTCCATTGCCTTTGTTATGTCTTACAATCACATATATTTTTCATTCTAGTAATTCAGAACAAATTCTCCTAGTATTCATGGTAACACTAAAAGGGAAGGGCTGCAGTGAAATGAAACACAGCATAATCATATAAAAACGCATGCAGTTTGATAACAGGTTAGTGCATAAAATTCAAATTCTGCTAAAAATGACAAAAACTACAAGGTATCTCTCTGCCAGACGGTTTGTTTTAAAATGTTAAATATTTCTCAGTAACAGCTATCACTGATACCAGGTAGCAGGAAAATCCTGGATCAACATCATCAGTGCAACTAAGACACTGCAGATCTTGAAAATAATTTAGTTTCTCTACTGGCTGTGTGCTGTTACTGTATCGCAGTTGTTTGCATCAATTGCTGTTGTTTTATCGATGGTAATAACTTTTTAAATGTACATTATCCTTAGAAGTTTACAGGTAATCTGGCTTTGCTCCAATAACAACATTATGAATAAAATTTAAATCATACATTGCATGCAAGATTCCTCCCATCCTCCCTCCCAGGCAAGTACTGACATTTAAAACTTTCACTTTTTACAATCCTTTTAGGAAATAATTGTTGTATTTTCTTTCATTTGTTTTTTCTTTCCTTCTTTTGCTTTGGCATTCCTCCCTCCCCTCCATGAGACATTCCAGCCCACTTTGAGAGACGAATTTATGTACAAATGATAGAAAATATCTCAATATAACATTTTAGTTAAACTGTGTTTCAAATTAGAAATGACAAATTCCAAGGATTAACTTAAAGGGACACCCAACTTAAGTTATATTTTTGTCTTTTAACTTTCATATTACAAACCAGAAGTTCTTCCCAGGTTATTTCAACATGAGGCAGTACTTCAGGCTGTCTTACCCTTTCCCCTGTAATAATCAAAACTGTATTTCAGTTCTGTCTCTGTTGCTCTTAATAAACCAAAAGGGAAGGGAAAAAAAATAAACCAGGAAACTAATTAGATCCAGTGAAGTTGCCAGGGAGATCAGAAGCTGAATGTCTCCCTCCCCACAATTTTTCTTTAGGTCAAGTTGGTGTTCCTTTAAGTGCAGTGTCCAAACGTCAGGAGCRAATAGAACTAGCCTTCCAACTACTTCCTGCCCATGCTTTGTCAAATGAAAATCTTAACTTTTCCCATTCTATTCGGTACATATTATGAGGTATTTACCTCCAAAAATAATGGTGCTTGGGCGTCTCAGACTCATTGGACAAGTTTCATGCAAAAGCCTCCAAAAATAATTCTCCTTCCAGAACGCCCACCTCAGCGATTATATTACACCTACTGTGTGAGGCCAAAGCCCGGACACAGAAGAAGGATCATATCCTGCTGTACAAAACAAAGCGTTAAAAACAAGAGATAAGAGATGTGATAAGGGCAATCTTACATTTATAAATTACCTTTCATTGTGAAGGACCCCAAAGCTTATTGTAAACCACATATATACCTTTACTGACATGGAGCTACCGTGAAGTGCAATCCAGCAAACAGTGGTGCAGAGACTTAGCTGCTTTATGTTTTAAACAGATTCCTCTGGGTGATGCTGCCCGGGAATACTGACACTTGGGATTTGATCCAGTTACTCTATAGACACATGCAGCAGGATACAAGACAAGTGCTCCTGCTCACAGTTCACAGGAGCTTTGGACATCGGGGCCTCAGATCTCGCTGAGCTCCAGGACGTGCAGGCAGAGCGCGCTGCATCAACAGCCCTTCCTCGTACGCRTTGTTCTTCCTAGAAGGTTCACGTACAAACACAGCCCAAACCTCCACTGCAAAACCACGGGAGATCAAACAGGTGACACGGCCGTCAACCACAACCCTAAGGGAATTATTTGGATGAACGTTTTCTATTACATAGCTGCTAGTAGGAGGATTTGAAGGATCTGAAGCAAACTGTTGGGTAATGGCATGTCAGGCACTATGTTTCTAGTGGAGAGATGCCCGATACCTCTTCAACTCCTGTCATCCATGGATGGAAATTCAGTTTAGACAATTGGAAACAAGTTCAGCATCATGAAATCAGAAACAACCAAATTTAAAGTTTATAAAAGCAAAACTTAAGTGACTCAACAAATTTAAAACTATTAAAATTTATCTCAGTTGACCATTTAGACTGACATCACCCAGTGTCCAGCATTTTTTTTACTTTGGAAAACCCTGAGTTTGTTTTCTTTAGTCTTCATTTCGTCAGGATTTTAAGTTAGAGAAGTTTTTGGCTTACATACAAAAGTGCAACATAATAATGCATCTCAGGTGACAGCAAAAGCATGTCTCTCAGATCAGTGAAGTGACTTGTTTTTTTAGGTGTTTTTTTGTTTGTTTGAGACTCCCTGTTCTAAACACATTGTAAATGAGTTTGGCTTCTAATGATTTACTTGGTTGCATTCAGTCTGCTCTAAAAAGCTGGCCATGAAAGTCTACTTAACACAGTATAAGCAAGATTTGTAGAAATACAAGAAAAAAATGCTATGGTTCCCACTGCAATAGAAATTACAGCCTCTCTCACATAGGGAGGGTAAATGATACTATATAATGCCTTATATTCACAGGAGGAAAACAGCAATCTGCCCCTGTGGCTACATGGAGGCTGGTATTCCATGTCCTGAAAATTCCAAGAGACTTGAGCAAGAAAGGGAAGCAGATTTGTGCAGTGGTCAAGAAACAGAAAGATGGCACAAGGGAGAGTAGGCAGATCAAGAAAAACAGGAGCAGGAGCATTTGGGAGAAGAAGCCAGAACACAGAAGCTGAGAGAACCAAAAATTGCCAAAAGCCTCCTCGAGCTGGTAAGAGTTTCCTCCCGAGCATCTCCCCCCAGTGCACTGACCCATCACAGCTAGCACTGGCTTACATCAAGTGTTTGCTCGCTCTTCTGTCGACTCTTTTCTCTCCTCCATATTCAAGCATTTCTGGCCTAATTTTCAGAGGGGCTGTGCACCCATATCTCCTGTGGAAGTAAYGAGAGTTACAGTTACACAGCACACCTGAAATGCCAGACAACTAACGCTCCACGTTTCAAGTCTGCTGTAACCTTAGCATGGAGGCTGTAGCTGCATGCACACTCTTCTCAGAGTGACGATCTCAACACAAAGCACCTCTGTAATATCAGCTCGAGCATCTACAGCACCAGGCTTCTGCCCTTGTAACATCCTCATCTAATCCAGCTCATCCCTAAGCACATTTAATTCCGAGCAGGTAACTCTGCATAGCTGCCATGCTGGATGCAACACATCAGAACATGCTTAAGGTTGCACATCACTGACCACAAGCCCCCAAGGCAGGTGGCCCTTTAACTTGTAGCTATATTAAAAAAAAAAGACAAGGCACTTTCTAAAGATGCAATCTGAAAACCTACTACCAAATCCCTTAAAAATCTGAGCATTAAAATTAAGACAAATTGAACTGAACAAAATTAACAGTTTTTTCCTGTATCTGGTCAATCCATTTTATGACTTTTACAGCATTAGGTACATAACAATCCTCAACTCTCCTCTCACAATTAAACTATTTCTGAAAAGTCTTTTCATAAAAAAAAAAAAATTAAGAAGGTTTAAAAATCACTGTAGAGATTAAGTCAGCTATCTTAAAAAGAAATAAGGCTCTGTGTCAAGCAAAAGGAGAGTTCACCCTGCCTTCCTGGACTTCAGTAGGTTGTCCTCCTTTTCTGACTTTTATACTATGTAAATATTTCTTTGTGGGTGGGGAGATCATAAGTTCATCTGAAATCTGGTACCCCCCCCCAAAAAAAAAAAAAAACCCAAAACAAAACAACAACAAAACCTTAAAATCCCTTTGCAGGAAGCTCTTAAGCAGAAAAGCTAACATGCACATAAACACAAACAGCAATCTTCAGCAGGGGCTTAGGAAATTCTGTTTTATCTTGGATTTTTTGGAGTTTATTGTCTAGCCTCCACCTGGTTACACCAAGAACTCCAATACCCCTTCAGAGAGGAAGGCAAACAACCAGTGTTCCAGTGAGAGGAATCAGGAAGGCTGATGTTCCTTACTTTCCATTCATTTTTAAAGGTTAAAAAATATATCATCTGCAGCCCAACAGACAGGAATCTCCTAAGTCATTCACACACTTCTCATTCTTGCTCGATTTCTGGAATTTTCCACTGGTGCCAGAAGCWCCATCTGGTGGGTGTGTATACTAACTGCATAACTGTACGGGAATTAACTATTTCCTTATCAACTTTTGTTAAGTAGTGTAAGTTTTATACACTGCATAGTTCTTATACCCTAATATCGAGCACAAGATGGCTGAATTTTGATTGCTGTGGGAACCATAATTCCTAATTCCTTGGTGAATAATCTGTTGTCCAACACTACTGCAACTTTCCRTTGTGTTTTCTATATATTTTATTTGACCACAAAGACAAAAAGGTGAGGTGAAGAAAAGAATTACTTAACTGCATTTAAATGTTTTCCAAAGGATTATTTTTTAGAAGACACATGATAAAAACAACACAGCAATTCTAGCAATCTTTAACACATTCTGAGACGCAGTTTTAAGTTAGATCCATTCTCCAGGGCATGCTGTACATCAGTGCATAAGATGTTTTAAATTCAGGGCATCAGCAACTCAAAAAGGAGGCTCTCACACCTGCAGTCATCTTAATGTCTTTTGTGACTGCCCAGGATAAACATTTATATGCATCTACATACACAGTGAAATCAATATGTAATATACATACTCAGTGTGATAGTCATGCTTGCTTAGGGCCATTGAAGACTTTTGTTTGAAATGTAATAAAGCCTGCCTATCTTACTGAAATTTGAAATCAACATCAGAGGCCACTGAAGCACAAAGGATATAATTTGCTTACACCTTGATAGCCATACTTCAGTGGTCAAGAAAAGGCTGCATGAAAATGCTTTACATTTTCCGAAGTAATCCTCATCTGGATTGTAGTTAAACATGTACAATCCCAGAACAAAAATGATTTTAGAAATGAAAGCATACTTCATGATTTGCAGTTACTGTTCAAATTGAACCAAGAATCATCTTGAAATTTTTAATCAAAAAAAGCTCACAAAAGCAGCRGCACAAAGCCTCTGTAAAACGTGTGAGAATAAAGCATGTAATCAATAARCATTTAATTTAGGACTGGATTACACCAATTCTAAAACTGCAATCAAAGATGTGACTGCAAGCAAAAACTGTAGCCCTGGCATCTCTTTCATGTTTTCCCACTGCCACCAACTGTGTCAGCAACTGTATTTGTGCAGCAGTCAGAGCAGAGAACTGATCCAAGAGGAAAGGAGACGTTCTCAGCTGGAGCAGTTCCCCCACACAGAGAAGCGCTAGGACTGGTACAAGGAAGGGGGCTGCTAAGGTGGGCTCGTACCAGCACATCCAGCAGCCCTGTGGTCACAGACATGACCTACGAAACTGCACCATGCCTCCTAACTAGGAAAATGCACTGCTTGCATGCTGTTAAGCAGCAGAACAAATTAACAAAAGGGAACATTCAAACGCTTTCACAAGCTCATCCAAAACTCTGCCAATACACATTTTCTCAGCAGATATATTAGATATTGAGGTGATCCCACCAACTGACTAGCGCCTAAGTATTTAAAATGTAAAAATAGCTTGTGAAGTAGGCTGATTCCGATTATTTTTCCTGTGCACTACCTCTTCACACACCCTATGCACAAATGCTAGCATTATACGATTAGGTAAAGTCTGTAAACATGAGCTTAAAATCAATCTTACCACTCCACATTTCTTACCTCTTTCCCTTTCTGTCTAAGCATAGTTCCCAAGTGTTCCAAGTCCCTGACTACATTCCAGCGTTAATCCAGCTCAGCTACTGTTGTCTTCGGACTGACCCAGGAACCTTCGATATTCAAAAGGCTTCATAGCAGCAGCAGCAGGAATGGAGGGGAAAAAAAAATAAAAAGAATCACAAACTTACGTTTCACATCTTAGAAAAATGCATTTTAAGACAAGTATTGTTGACTTACTTTGATTTTAAGAAACATTTTACCACCCCCTGTTGCTGCTATGAATCGCCATCAGTAACAACTATTTTGGTCCAGCTGCAGCATGAGCAAAGAGCTAACAGATCCAGAGTCACGTCAGAAAGCAGTACACAGAGGAAGTAAGAAAGGGTGAAAGAATGTTGAAAGTTAAAGCCTGAAAGAGGCAAGCACAGATGGATGATAGGGAATAGGGAAGAAAGGAAGGCAGGTTCGAGAGCAAGCCCTCTCCTATTTGGGAGTGATGGGATCAACTACAGGGTCTACCTGAGTGTCACCTCAGAGGAAAGGCTGTTTGCACAGTTACGTGACTTCTATTTCTTGTGTTTTAGACACTACTTGAGAAGTACATTTTAAATGAAATGCTTCACCACCTGAGCTAGACAGCCAAGAACTTGCAGGTCTGATCTCTTCACAGAGGTAATTACACAGGTTTAGTGCTCAACAGCCAGTATCAGTTTTCATCCAAACCATCTTTAAAGCCAAGGATGGTGGTAACTGAACATGACTCACTGCAGGAAAAAGTGATATTTATTCCACTCTTACTCAAAACCATCAACCACCATTCACACTGAAAAGTACTAATGTGAGGTAGGAGTACGACACTGAATTTGAGCCTCACATTTGCCTTCAACGTTAGCTCTGAACAATACAGTTGCTTTTTTCCTTTTTTTTTTTTTTTTTTYCCCTTCCCTCCTTGAGGCACAAGGCCCTCAGGTAAATCTGAAAAAATGTCTTCTTTATTCAGTCTTAAAAGATGTATTATGTTATTCCACCAGATCTAAAGCACATCTTAAAAGCTCAATGAAGAACTCAATTTGGTCATCCTGACGAGGAAAGAAAGTGCTTTTCCCCCAAAACATGTCAGGTCAGTCAAAATCAGTCTTCCAGACTTACAGTAAGTATTATCACTATTTTTTAAAGTCTATTAACAATTTTTTTTCAATGAATATATATTTATTTACATTATATTATCTTTACAGCTTGTTAATTACCCACAGCTTATACTATTGGGATATATCTGTATCACCTTTCTTATATAAGCTGGACTACCTCCACATTAATCATTAACTGCTACAATTATGTTAATCCAAATGACATTTGATATATAAAAAAACTCATAAGAGCAATTCTTAATTTAGCATAATCAAAAATAATGTAATGTTTATTTAGTTGAAGTTTGACATGGTCAGCTGTTATTCCTTTAAATGACTGAATGCATCTTGAAACCAAAAACAAACAACAACAAAAAAGCAGCATCATTTAAATACAAATTCTGCTAAATTAGCAATTGGAAAAAATACCCCACCCTTGCCAATCCATGAAGCAGATCTAGTGCTACCTGTGGACCACACCAATCAACTGAACAATTTCAGTCAATTAGCTACTCAATGTGATTCTTTTTTGGTGCTAAAGTCTAGAGACTTTAAACTATTTAGACTATTCTCATCATACCTAATACTGTTTTGTTTACTGTTTTGTTCATCCCTGATGTATAAATTTAGTCTTTCTCAACCTTACTTCAAGTACTGAAGTAGAGATAACTTCCCATTTCGGGGGGGTGGGGGGAGGTTCACTCTCTAGCTCCTATGTATTATTTACAGTCTCCCCAAAACAACTGCAGTAACACGAGCCACTGTTTTTCTCTCTTTTCACTAAGTCATTTATTCCAATTTTGTTCTCCTCATCAAGCCTTAAATCAGCTGCCATCTTAATGTATAAGTTATAAAATACCCATTTTGGACTGTATGAATTTTGACTACCAATATGGTTCTTATATAACTACGTATTTTGGAAACACATTATCATGGCATACTAAAGCTGGGATGGGGATAATCATCTATTATTTGCACTACTGTCTGTCAAAAGCAGCACTTACCTGTCACATTCACCTAGAAATACACTGGGCATCCCCCTCCAACTGGAGGGTCAGTGCAGTAACTGTGCAGCGAGCTGTGAGCTACCTAACAATGATACTTCATGCTAGTGCCAAATTATTTCCGTGCTTAAATAAAATGCTGTTGTAATATACTACTGTAAGTGACACATACCAATTCTGAAAATGCTAATGGGCATCTTCTGACAACCGGTAACTTCTATCCTACATATACAGAAAAAAAAAAACAGGTTATTCATCTCATACTGAAGAGCACAGAGTCTTTCTCTGTGTTTCGTTTGTGCAGCTAATGCTGAGCACTGTAGCACACACTTTCCAAACAGCTGAGAAGCTCCTCTCTAGTGAGAGCTTCTCATTCCTAGGCACAGGGAGCAGCAGTCACTGCTTGCAGCTTCTGTTGCCTACAAGCAAACACAACCACCTCTTACCTTCCTCATCTCTTGGCTGTCCAAATGACAGTTCTTTCCTAAAACTAAACACAAATGATCTCACAAGCTCTTAGTAACTAGTAAACTTTAATCCATGCCATATAGTTTCAAGAATAAATGGCAGTACCCTYTAAGGGATTTTCTATAAAGCTTTCATGAGCCATCACCTAAAGTAAACACAATAGCATTAAAAATGTAGCAAATTGAAAAATGTAGCAGATTGAAAAAAAAAGAGCAGCCCCCCCATTTTTCCTGGGCATCAAAAAGTAAATAAATAAATTTGAGTAAGGGGGTTTACTATTTAAAAAAATACAAAAAAAAAGAAGATCTTATTCAGGGGAGAGAGCTAGTTATTAGCTGTGTCAAAAGGGACACCCCTGTTCTGATGGCTGTATTTACTGGAAGCATCTTCTGCAAAGATGTAACCACCATGTTACAATGAATCAAGCTCAAGTGCAATCTTTGCCAGCAAGTGTACGCTCTTCTCCTTGCAATGCTCTAAGGTCCGGACAAGCCTCACCTCAGATGTGGATGCGCTGCTGCAGAATCGCCTCCCAACACCTAAAAATGCTCATGTAAGAGAGACCTAAGGACTGGCTGTGTTGGTTTCCTTAACCTCTTTGGGGGACGACCCGCCTCTCTCACCTGGCAGGATGTAACTGTGGCAAAGCTCTGCAACCCTCGCACTGTTACAGTTATCAACCTCCCCAAGGGAAAGTTTTCCCCACTAATCCCGTGGCGAGCCTGGAAAGGGGGGCTGGAAGGCCGAGGTGGTGACGGGCGGCTGCAGCCCGTGCTGGGCGCGCAGCTGGGAGCGGGCGCCTCCATCCCCTCGCCGCGCATCCTCCCTCCAGTGAAGGCAGGCAATAGCGGGGCGCCGGGCAAGGCGGAGGCGGCCGAGCTGCCCCGGAGCAACCCGGGGCCTGTGCCGCGCGCGGCGGGCTCGGCGCGGGGGGAGGCCCGGGCCCC